ATCGCCTCTAGCTAGAATATTTTCAAAAAATAACAAAAAGTAGAAATTGGGGTACAAAATTGCAAGCCCAAGTGACGTGAGTCGCAACTATATACCATGGTTGTTTTGTGCAAAATATGCGCACGGACGTGTGTTGTCGAGGATTCAAAACCATGACCAAAGTATTTTTGTTTGAGCCCTTCTGATCTTACCACCACGCCACATATATAGTAACCTATGATTAGGGACCAAATGCTATTCTTTTTTATTGGGTTCTCAATCTTTTATTGAATATTCTGGGACCTAAACAATCTTAAATGAAAAAAAAAATTAAAAGTTTTATATCTTGTCAACACTACAACTTTTATGTAGAGCATGTCTCCATTCGAGGTCACTTGAAAAATTTAAAATTTGAATTGAAAAATACAATAACTTAAAATGTATATTTGTCCAACCTAAGCAATTTTAAATAAAAAATTATCAATTATAAAGTTTTAGATCTTGTAGAGATCTGCAATTTTGATATAAAAGACTGTCGGTGATACTAACCGCCTCTAGTAAAAAAAAAATTAGAAGGTGGTTTGTTGGCTGGTCCCCTCTATTATCATTATAGGCGTGGTTGGAATTATAATCATGCTTTGAAAAGAAAAAAGAATCATTTCTCAAAAACGTTTCCGTAGTAGTGCGAAAGTCTTTGAGTGAGGCTTTAATTTGGATATTTGAGAAGCGGATATGTACGGACTGAAATTTACAATCTTCACAAAGTGTCACACTCCACGGTATTATCCATCCATGTCTAAGATGATTAAAATATTTAAACTTTTAATAATAAATAAAATATACTCATCTTTGGGCCAACTTTTCTCTTTTTTTACATGTCGTATTATGTTTGTCCTAAGTCAAACATTTCTAACTTTCAACATCAATTTCAAAAATCCACGTAGTTTCACAACATGTGAACAACATATTATGAAAGTGTTTCTTATATTGAACCTAAAAATATAAATTATGTTGTTAGCCTACACAAAATTTTTGAAATTGCTATTCAAAGTTAAGAATATTTGGCTTAGGACAAACCTAATACGACATGTAAAAAAACAGAGTAGTAAGCTTCAGTTTCTTCTTCCAATGAGTAACATCAGTACTGTTGCTGTCACATTTAGACTGTGACTGAATCCGTGTTAATTATCTAGTACAGTGGCTTAAAAGCCAAAAGTGCAAGGAGACCACACATTGAATCACAGACGGAGCTACGTGGGGGCCAAACTGGATCCTGCCCCCCTTGCTCTGGCTGTATCACTCTGGATGTTTGCATGTCGCTGCATGCATGCAATTAATTTCTGCCTCTCTTGTACCGTGCTTGTTGTTGCTGATGTATGGATCACAGCTTACAAGTATGTAAATCCACATATTGTTCATTTTTCTTTGATAGAATTTCAATTGCTCATTGCAGTCTATATAGATAGAACTTGAAAAAACAAAGATTTTTTCACAGAATTCCAATTATCTATACTATTATTGGTAATTATTGTAGCAGTATAGCTTTGAATTACCCCCCCCCCTACCCTACACATTCATGCAAGCTCCGCCACTGCATCGAATGGTTCTCCATCGAATTGCCATGAATCGTGTCAACTCGACGTGGACATCTCCTCTCAAGACCGTCACCTGCACGAGAAGTCACGCTACATTCTTGGTCTTGCCATGTTTATCCATTCGTGATTGGCCATTTCAGTGTAGAAAGTTGGGTATGCGATGTTTCTACTTGTACACAATGCCCGCTTTTCACCGCAACTGTTTGTTCGTTTTGTTCTGATAGATAGATAACCTGTGATGTTGCCATGTGTGACAATTATTGGTGCTAGCAGCTAGCTCTTCTCTATCGGTGTGTTCAAACTAAAGGCTGGTGAACGCAGTAAGAATCTCCTCTTTAATAGGTGGTCTTACACATGGGGCTCTAACATTTTTGCCTCGGCCAAAGTTTATAAATTGTTGATAGGGCATCCAGAAACCCACCCTGCCTTCAAATGGCTATGGAAAAGCCAATGTCAGCCAAAGCATAAAGTCTTCTTTTCCCTTTCTACCTTTGTTTTCTTTCCTATTGTACTTCTTTAACTTGCTTCGCCTTTTATTTCAATAAATACTGTAGGGGCTCTGGCCCCTCTAGAATCTTCAAAAAAAAAAAGAATCTCCTCTTTAAAGGTGTGCTTGAACTAATGGCTTATTTAGATATGCATTCGTGAATGCAATAATTCTTATGTGTTGAACAATTTGGACAACAAAAAATGATCGAATTTCAAAGGAGTTCAAATGAACATTGAAGATTGGAAACTGATCTTTACCAAGAAATCTCGTTGCTCTCTCATAGGGCGGAAGTCAAGATTTTACACAGCTTTTAACTCATGGGTCCAAAATCTATTGTAAATTGTTGATTGCAATTATTTTCTTACTTTCCTCCTTTGTTTCTTGAACTACTCTATATTTGAACGACACTTTTAATTTTTAATTATAACTGTAGGAGCCAATGCCCTTTCAGATTGCTAAAAAAAATGGCCATATGGATGGAGAACATCAACAACACTGGAACTGGAAGAGCGCCGTGACTGAGAGCCCTCACAACCTAGCACGACACAATTAGACATGCTCTACCAATGAGATAATAGCCCATCGCACGGGCCTCCCAAACTCCCAAAGGGAGGCCTGCTACACAAAAAAAGAGAAAAAAATCCCTTTTCTTTTGACATCCTCATACATGATCTTTTTTCAAGAGGTTGGAAGTTGGAACTCATAGTAGATTAATAATTTCCCAAAATTCCTATGAAATAAGGCATTCTAAATTTTGTAGGAATTATAAAGGTTGATTCTTTTTTCCAAAGAGCTTAAATTATTTTTGTCTTACAATTTGTAATGGAGAGAGTTGGATTCAACGGCTATGAAATTATTTGGTTTTTCCAAAAAAAAAATTACAAAGGAGCTGAGGCCTTATCTGGAGGGAAAAGTGAGCTTCTTGACAGATGTTGGACCGATGATTGATGCGTTTGTTGGGACATGCCGAAGGCAGAATCTAAGCACGTTGGCTTAGTGCATTTTTCCAAAAGGTGTTGCGGTGCGTACTCCTTTAAAAAAAATGAAAAGTCAAATAATTTTAGATTTATCAAAAACAAGGCTATATAAAAATATTAATATAATACTGAATTCATAAATGTATATTATTATGGGAAATCAGTTACTCCCACGTATACATCTCTAGATTTAGGACGTATATGGCCTGACGAAGTGCGTGTAGACGGAGTCTATCATCCTACTAGACCATCTAGGATACTCTATGTGTGTCAAGTATGCAAAGTATACTTAGAGTATATGGTCATACTTATTTTATATGCTACTATAATAGTATTAGTATTAAATAATATATTAAAATATATGGGCTCTTGTGAAAAAATTTTACATAGTAAAGATATGCAGTATCTTAATATGAGTATATATTAACAAACTCAAACTGATAAATGATGAGTATGTACATATACGCAATGTGATTTATTGAAGATGGGAGTAACTACTCCCGAGAGTAGCTATTGGGAGTCATAGATATTGATAATAATTATACTGTATACAAGAAAATGAAGAACGAGTCACATCACATACTAGGATACAGTGTCCTTTTTTTTTCTAATACTTCGTGTAAAGTCACCGAAACACTGAAATTGGCACGATGGCTTCCAACAGCAAGTATCCTTAAAAGACGAGTTATCAAGTAACCATAAACAAGAATTATTATCGTCGATATATACGGCATGTTCGCTTGGTCGTAAATGATCATAAATTTTCAGGCAGAACAATATTTTTCTCTCACACCAAACAGCCAGCAGTAATAATCTACGATCGCGTATACGATCGTTTCAGGCCCAGCCAAACAGGCTGATAATTGTTGTCAAACATGTGATGCTTGAGAGACAAGGAACTTGACAAACGCGCTGATCATATCTCCTAAGGGGAATGGACTAATTATGTCATCAGATTGTTCCAACTTGAGGTCGCCGTCAACGTCCACAGTTCCTATACATCGTTAGGCAATTCAATGCAGATATAGCGAGGTTGTCGGGACATCAAGCAAACATGAGACCTGATGCTTATCCAAGATTGCTGGATGTTATTAGCTGTGTCCTCAGTGTTCACTCCTCAGAACCCCAGAGGCGAGATGCCAACTGACTGATGTTAGACCTCACCGCTTCATAGCGATGCGAACAGGGTGAATATTTTCTGTAAAGTCAGTAAAATTTAAGGAAATTTGGCTGATCAATTCAAACCCAAAATCGCATCCATTTGGGAGGGAAGGTACTGGTAGTACTTAGCACTCCATGCGTATGTACGTACGTAGCAGTAGGAAATTGAAGAAGCATCAGCTGTTGCCATTGCCGGTGAACTCATCGATCATCTGTAGCAATGCACGCACGCAACACGATGGACGTCGATGCAAGGCAAGCAACCGAAGAGAAGAAGAAAACTCAAGGAAAGAGACGAGGAGTTGTTTTGGCGCCACATGGAAATGGAAAACTCAGAAGGATCGGATCAGGTGGTACCGTTTCATTTTCCGCCGGATGGGAACTCAAAAGGGAACCCACGTGAAAACGTCGACAAGCTTGAACTTGTTTTTCGCAACATTCCACACCACATCAGGATCAGCCAGAAAGCGCCAATGCGCCATGAACAAATCGACAATACATAACCAAAATTTTCAAGTTTAATTAGCATATAGATAAAAGTGTCTCATCTGAAATTAAACTCCGGTCCACATGTATGCGTGTGGCATGGCATGTGGAGATGATCTCTCTTTCTGAAATTGAAACTGAAAACTGCAACTGCAACTGGAACTGGAACTGGAACTGGAACTGAGATTACAAAGTAATCAATATAATAGTACGCACGCATGGTTAGTAGTACGCTACTAGTTCTTGGCAGAAGAGTTGGCGGAGATGGAACATGGGCGGGCGAGGCGTGGAGGTGGAGCAGGAGGTAGCTAGCTAGTGGCCGACGCCGGGGCTGGGCACGGAGCCGAGCATCCGGCTGCGGGGAGCTGATGCCTCCTCAATGGTGGTGGTCGGCGGCGGTGGCGGCAGCAGCAGAAGCGCGAGCGGGGGCGGCCTTTCTTGCACCGACGACGCTGACGCAGGTGTGGATCCGGAGCCGCTACTACTCGTCGTCGTCGTCGCCGTCGGGGCGCGAGCCTCCTCCTGCTGCTGGCGGCCATCGGTCGGCGTCGTCCTGGCCGCTTGCAGCTGCAGCAGAGACGAGGGCGGCGACGCCTGGAGGAGGAGCGCGGCGACGACGAAGGCCGCGGCCGTGCGGTGGAGCGACGACGACGACGGAGCCATGGCAAGGTGCGTATACACGTGCGTGCGTGCCCTTCTTGGCTGGCTGGTGTGGCTCGATCTTGAGCCCCGATGCGGCCTCCCTGCTGGTACGTATCTGTGTTTGGCTTGGCGTATATGTGATGTATGGAGCACTTGCGGGAACAGGGAGAGGGAGGAACGAAGAATGTGAGCGACGTTAGGTTGCAGCATAGAAATACTTTTATAGGGTGTGCTGTGCAGGCATTTCCGGGGAGACAAGACTCTCAAGAGCGCGCGATCGAGGCCACTACGTACGTAGCAGTAGAGCATTGCTCTGCTCAGTGCTCATTGTCATTGGGCCGAATCCAAGTGTACGTGCGCAGTGCAAGAGGACAGCCTCGACGTCGTACGGCGCCACGTGGAAGGATTAGAGCAGGACACCGCTGGGCGCTGGCAGCAGTCCAGTAGGTTAATTAGCTAGTAGGTCAAACAACACGTACGTGCTAGCTAGCAGATCGATCGAGCTAGCTAATAACCAATTAACCATATGCATGCCACTACACGACACTACTCCTATGTAATAAGCAGGTTAATGTAATAATGTTGCCGGCGGCGATCGAGGACCCAGGCATGGCATCGCTCAGCAGCTCTCGATCGATCCATGGACCATGGCGGCAGCTGGCGGGGATGATGGAAGGAGGCCGGCCGGGGCTGAGAAGTCGTGCAGGTCAGGTCATCAGACCGCCGCCAGAGGCTGGACGCTGGAGCGAGCTCACGTACGTCTGAATGCAAGTTGGGAAGTTGCAGGAGCAGTTATTAGCTGGCCGCCGTGCTGAATCGGTCAAGGCTGCTGAGGCTGAGATCGATCGAGGATTTTGTGGCTGACCCATCGACTCACTCAAAATTACGACCTGCGTGCATGCTCTTGAGCAATTCGTAATCAAGGTTGTTTGTGTTAACTAAACTGCGAATGAAGAGCATGCATGTTGCCAACTTAGTACTCTACTAGTAGCTTGTTGTGGAAGTCACAGCAACCACCTTTTGCGTTGCTGGAAGGCAAGCAAAGCCACCTGATTTACCGTGTCTCGCGTACTCTCGGTCTCTCCCCACATGACTACTGTATGTCCTAACCTACACACACATATATCTATCTATTTGTCCTGAAAATCACTATATATATATATATATATATATATATATATATATATATATATATATATAATCTCGATCGTGCTGCGACGATACTACTAGTACGTAGTGCATGTGAAAAATGTACTCCTACCACACTTTTCAACGATGAACAAAGCGTTCAACTGACGGCGAGTGTTGATGCACACATTTTAATGCCCCCATACATCCATGTACGTGAAACGGCAGAATACCTGCCAAATTGTGAGTGTTATGCTCACAACCCAAGCTCGCTCTTAGGGTATGTAGTACTACACTACTGCTCCAAAGGTAAACTTGCTGCCCGGTTTCCGGCCATGCATTTCATTTGAGTGGCAAAGTGCGTGGTAACTGTAACACCTCTGGTGTTTTAAACACTAAAATATACCATGTCATCATATGTATTGCAAATCATTCTTGTGTTAGGGAAAACTTTGATATGCATTCACTAAAACAAGTTTATTTTATGGTTATATGTGTTGTCTTGTATGGGATGAATCAAGTTCAAAACCTTTATATTGAATTAGAATTCCAAAACCCTAATTTTCAGCATTTAATTCTACCCTGGAAAACCTATTTCAAAATCTAAGCACATTTTGGGGTTAAGCCTAAAAGAAAAAGTGTAGAGCTTGTCAATGTGTACAAAGTTGGTTTTTAGAGTTTTCAAAGTTGTTATATAAAGTTTGAAGTAATTTGAAAAGGGATAAATTTTTAAAGTGTTCCCTTTTGATTTTAAACTTGCATTTTTAAATGTAGACATAATTTGAGTGTGGTTATTAAAGCAAAGGTGTAGAACTTTGAATTTGGAACAACTTTTATTTTTGGAGATTTTTGAGTTACCACACAAATTTGAGAGTACTTTGAAAAATAAAGCGAGTGGTAATTCGGTAAATATCTCGAACAGTGCAGGCAGGCAGGCACTCACCGTCGGCGAGCTTCCACCGGCTTCTACGCGCGCCCGCAGGTGACACCTCCAGCTTCGACGTGTCCAGGCCGTCGCTGCGTGTCAAGCGCACATCTCACCGCCGCTCTTCGCTCGCCGATAAGTCTGGAAGTGCCCTCCCGTCGCTCTCTCCTTCCTCTGTTTCCCGTCAGCGCCACCCTGCTCCGTCGAGCTCGCGCCGGAGTCACAGCGCCCTCCCAGCCTCAGCCGAGCATGTCACCATGATCGCCATCACCTAGCGCCTCCATAGCACACACTTGCGCAGCTTCTTTCCCTCTGGTTTGCCCGGCATAACCTCGTCTTCTCTAACTTCGGCGAGGAGCCGCCGTGATCCATTCCACCGCGGACAGGGACTTCGGGTGGGCTTCTTGCTTCATCTTTTGCTGTTTCTTGATCTTCATTCTCTCGTGATGCTCATGAGCTTGATCGATGATCATTTGGTCAGCTGCTTTCCTTAGAACGGAGCTTCACCGTGAGTTCGCGCCGCCGCTTTCGTCTCCAACGCCGACGACTTAGTTTCGCCTCGCCGTAGCCGTCGTTCTCGCGCGCATCAGCTTTGGGGTGAGCCACTGATCATACCTGTTTAATCTATTTTACATCTACCACGCCGTAGCCATGGGACCGCGGGACGCCAATGAGTTTTGCTCCGCCGTGCCGCTGCGCGCGTCGCTGCTTGCGTTGTAGAGCGTTTGGGGTTCGATTAAGGGCTCGGTTAAGTCCGTTATGAGTTACTGAGTACACCGGAGACCTTTGTATCGCTGGTAAAGTCGTAGATCACCGTCGCCGTCTCGGCATGACTCCGTCGTGCCGCCATCATCGCCGGCGAGGTCTCTGCAGTAGTCTAGATGTTCAACCGGTACCTTGAATCGATGCGCAACACTGAGGAGGTCGTGTTGGTGCACTCCGTACCACCGGAGACCTCACCGTTGGCGGGAAATCGCCGGTCAAAGGGCCTCACCGCCGTGGTCAGCGCGGGCTGACCGATGGGGTCACCCTGTCAGTGGCCGTTTATTTGAAAATGATTTTTTCTATTTTGCATAAATGATTAAATAGTTCAGTGATTTGTTTATTTTGTGTAGAAATAAATAGAGCTCCAAAAATTATGAAATTTTTTTGTGACCTCTCTGAGATGTAAACTATTTAGGAAAAATATTAAATGTTACTTTTCAGTACATTTTGAATGTGATAAAAATTGCTCAAAATAATTAATAAATGGGTTTCCATGATTTTTCTAGGCTTAAATATTTATCCAAAAATAATGAAAATTGTTTTTCCACTTAGTTATCATATGATGAGTCTTCACAAAAATTTGGAGCTCAGTTGGAGAAAGTTGATTTATTTCATAATTTTGAATTAATTTTTAATAAAGACAAATAGTAAACCTTAATGACTTAGGTTTTGTTTGAATTTGGGATTGAGTGAGGACCTTAGATCATTAGCATAAATTGATCCGTGGCACTTAAAGTAAGTGTTTGAGTTTATGAAAAAGGTTTACTTAGTTGTTGTTTTGTAACTGTACCGCGAAGGAAAGTTGTATTCAAGTTATTAACTTTTGCATCCATCGTCAAGCATCATGTTATATATCTCGCACCATTTTAAACATGGCATTGTTACCACGTGTAGTGAACGAAAGTGAGAACGTGGTAGTCAACCAAGTTATTGAGGAAGTCAATTCACCTGTTGAAGTCGGGTTTGATATTGTGGAACATCTCCAGAACTTGACTATTCCGACAATCAAGACTAAGCCCCAGATGCATTTAAACCTACCTTGTGTTTTCCAAATTTATATCGCTTTTGTTTTTAAATACTGCATTAAGTGATTAGGAGTTTAATGAAAATCTAATTGGTGCATTAACAACCTTGTTTTTTCATATCAACCTTGTTACCAGTTTTAATTCGAGAATGCCTAATTATGCTTAGCCATGCTTAGACCGCTAAAAGTCGGGTGATTATTGTCACCTGCGAGATATAAATGAATTTTTGGATACGATTGGTTATTTATGTTATCATGAGGTATAATCGTGTGGAGTAATAAATTTTGACCGGGCGGACTCGGTGTTTGAGAGCCACAAGACATGGATGTCTTATGAGCGGGTTCTTTCTGCCTGTGTCGATTAAGAACCGTCCGTTGTTGAATTGCATGAGGTGAGACTTTGTAGTACTGGCCACATACTCCGGTAAGCCTTAACTCGGCTATTCTATTACGAGAATGGCTACTCGCGCACTGGGAGTGGAGAGATGGCGAGAGTAGCGTGTACCCACGTGGCAATGGGCTGGATTGGTGGAGTACTGTGCTCTCGGGTGGCGCGGACCCATTCTTGTTTTAGAGGATCTGAAGGTAGGTTGATATACGTAGGTCAGAGACCTACATATGTCGTGTGGTTGGGAATCCCCATCTGGGTTATAATCGGTTCGAATCGTCGTTGTTCCTCGGTTATGGAGACTCAACTCACTGTTCATCATCATAGTTAATAAATGGAACTTGAGTAAGATTTGAGAAAGAGTTTAATATAAAGTTCATGATATCAATATGGATCATGTCAGCTTTATATATGATATTTATGAAGATTTAAATGTTGAAAGAAAGAATATTGTTAGAGAGCTTTTACGTAAAAGAACTTTGATTCTTGCTAAAGCCTTACCTTGAATCCTTGAGCCTGCATTCCTGAGTCCTCTCCGTTTTTACTTCGGTTAAGTCTTGTTGAGTACTTTTGTACTTAGGGTTCTTTAATCCCTGTTGCAGGTGAGTCTCATGAGCAGGTCTGTTTTGGACCGTGCTGCATGATGGTTGTTCAAATCGATGATGACAAGTAAATGTGTGGCCCTTGGACAGGGCACTTTAATTGTGTGTTTTGTATTATGTTACTAACGCCACTCCACTACTATGGTTTGTAATAATAATCGTATTTAGTTTGTAAGGTTTGAAACAACT